AGCTATCCATGACAAGTCTCAGGTTTACCGGACATTCTTCCTCAGCCAATCGGATCCTTATTGCCGGCCACCAACTGTCGAAGGCCCCCTCTATATCCAAGGACACGATCGCGACGAGCCTCTTTTTATCGAGTCCGCCACGAACGCGCTCCATTAGGGTATAGAGGGCGTCTTCGGTGCCTCTCTGGGGCATGAATCCGTATTGTCGAGTACTCATCCTAGGGAGTAGATAATGCTTGAGACGTGCCACCAGCATCTTCTCCAGGATTTTTCCCATCACCGGGAGAAGCCCTATCGGTCTATAGGATTTGGGGATCGAGTAATTCTCTTTCCCCGGTTTCCTCAGGGCTAGCACGACTGCCTCCTTCCATTTAGTTGGGAAGTGATGGAGATCTAGGCATTTGTTAAGGAGGGCCAGGAAGAGCTCGGGATCATTATTTATAAAGTGGCTGCATATGTCGGGCGTAAGGCCGTCGGCACCTGGCGCCTTCTTCGGATTGAAGGACTCGTGGGCCCTCCAGAATTCTGGCATGGTGAATGGAGGGTCACACGGCTCATTGAGTCTTCCTTCATTCACCAGGTCCGCTCTCGTTCTGGTGAGGGTGTGGTGGGCACTGTCAAGGTTGATGCAATCCTTGGGATAAAAGGTTTCTGCAAGTAGTGCTGATCCTTGCGGATCCAGAGTCTCACCGTCCCTCTCCAAAGGCGGATCCTTCTCTCTCTGCGTAGTTCTACCTGTTACCCTATAGATCCCCTCCCAGACCCCCTCCCTGTCCTGCTTTTTACAAAACTCCTTCCAGCTGTCCACTTGAGCTCTCGACGCTTCCAATTCGTACTCCTGTTTTTTCCTTAGATATTCTTCTACCACATCTGGTCTACGGTTAAAAACGGGTTAGAAGCTCATAATATTATACAAAAAAGTATAAAATACGGTGAAAAGTTTTTATGTGACTGATAATGATATCGAAAACGTGGCCAAGCTGATCCCAGATAAAATTTCACCAGTTCCTGATTCTATTGTTATAGTCAATTTTGATATTTTCTTTGTATTCTGGATACAACGAGAGTTTTTGATACTGCTATATGTTGCTATAGTGATGATTAGGACCATTTACGCTGTAAAACTTTTTGATTATAATAAATATTTTGCATTACATTTTGAGTTTACCTGCTCTGCAAAGTTCTCTAAGCTCCAATCTACAAAAGAAGACCTCCAGCGTGATATACCTTGCTTCCATCATACTCCGTGACTGTTTTTCGTGGTACCTGAACCTAAAAATCAAAATCCAATTCGTCATTCAAGATTATTCAAGTCTCTAAGAACTCAACCAACAACGTCCTTATCGCATCGGAATATTTCTGGCCGCCGTCGCTTTCATATCCGTCGCCCACGCAACTTTTGTACTGTAAGTCTTTGGTCATTGTTTAGACTAAGTTTAAATTAAGATTCAGTGCTACAAATCATAAATCTTTATTGATCACTTTATTTGATAATAAGTATTATAAAACAAATTATTAATTGTGAACATTATTCAACACATATAAGTTGTAACCGGACTTTCTAAGTTTACGTTTTAAAAGTTAATTATGCTAAAAGGGTTAAAACCCGAAGAAGATCAATTGTCTGTCGATATCCCCGAAACAAAACCGAGTTCAGGTATCTCAGGCACTAAATCGCCTCAGATTTCTCCTCGCGTCACTCCAGCCGCAACTCTCGCCATGGCTGAGCTAGAATTAAATATTTTATTCAGATTCATTAAATCATACGATGGTAGCACGGAAACTCTCAATTCATTCCTAGTAAACTGTGACAATGCTTTTGGTCTTGCAGCAGAGACGCAGAAGCCCATTTTATTTAAGTTTATCCTTAGCCAACTCCATGGGAAGGCGGAGACCGCCTGTTCCATCAAAGAATTTACCTCACGGGAACAACTTAAAGAATTTTTGAAAACACAATTTAGTGAAAGGAAACATTATTCACATCTCCTCATGGAACTCCAAGAAAATAAACAAGGCCCGCAGGATTCCGTGAGTCAATACGCTCTACGCACAGAGACATGCCTCTCACAATTGCTAACCGAGATATCGCTATCCAACACTAAAGTTAAGGAACTAGCCGGCCGCACCGCGGCCATAGAAGACCTTGCCCTTCATCACTTTGTAATGGGACTTCATCCCCGAATCTCAAATATCATTAGATGTAAATCTCCCAAATCATTAAATGAAGCAATCAATTATGCTATCTCAGAGGAGCGCATACAACAGACGCTGTATAGACGTCCACAAACCGATCAAAAATCAAACAATAACAACACCAACGAATTCAGGGCCGGTCCTTCCGAATTAAATCCAAATCCATCCTTTTTTCACAAAAACCATTTAATCCCACATCACAAGGGCCTCCAAACGTATTTTGTCGTTATTGTAAGATCCCTGGCTACGATATTTTGGCGTGTAAAAAACGCGAATACAACAACAACCGCTTCAGGGTTCCGCAGAACCCAAGTAACAAATCCTACCAATCCCCAAGAGTAAATTTTATTGACAATTCCGAAGAAGAGCACGGCTGTGATGAAGTCGATTACCCAGCCGAGCCTTTAAACGAATAGGGGACTCGCGGAGGTGTCTCGCGAGACCCAGTCTCATAGATACAACCCAACAACACTTATCCAATGACACCGGTCCGAGGGACCACACGGGTAGCCAGCCCCAAATAAGCACCCAAATCCGAAAACCTAATCCGACCAACCGACAGGGTAACCAGCCCCAAACTGACGGTCGAATCCGAAAATCTAATCCGACCAACCGACAGGGTAACCAGCCCCAAACTGACGGTCGAATCCGAAAATCTAATCCGACCAACCGACAGGGTAACAAGCCCCAAGCTGACGGTCAAATCCGAAAACCTGATCTGACCAACCAACAGGGTAGCCAGCCCCAAACCGACGGTCAAATCATTCCTTCAAATTCAAACAATTTGCATAATCCCAAAGCCTCTATCGTATCCAAGAAAATCACTAAGGTATATGAAATAAATGTGGACACATCAAATATGATGTTACCTCAGTGGTAATCGACACACAGATATCGGACTTACCGCTAACCCTACTCGTAGACTCTGGATCCGTTGTAAGCCTATTGAAACAGTCGTGTATTTCAAAAAACCCCGTCATTAAAAGAAAGACGATTAAACTCAAGGGAATCGATCCCGGAGAGGATGGATACAACGTGTACCCTCGGTCACTTTAATTTAATTCTATGGTCATATTGTCAAAGACATTAATTTACCCTATGACGGTATAATCGGTTCCGACTTTTTCACAACATTTAACTGTAATATAGACTACACTAACGACACCCTAAAAATATCCAAGGACACAATGAAACTTTACTTTTGTGACCCATTCTATATTATTCCAACACGCACCGAAACAGTCATAGAGTGTACCGTCAGAAATCCTGAGTTAATAGAAGGTGTAATTATAGACCAGCACCTATCAGACTCACGACTCATCTCAAATTGTTTAACAAGAGTGAAAGAAAACGATCGGGTTACAGTGACTGTCGCTAACATCTCCGAAAAACCGATAAATGTCAGCACTAACCTGAAACTGAACCTAGAACCAATACACCACTGTGCCTTCCAGAGTCCCGCAAGATATTCAACAAGCATTTCTAGCCGTACCAACGGAAGCTCAACTTGCTCCGAACTTCTCACCTAAATGAAGAAGAATCCCAAGCCCTTACGGAACTCTGTTCAAAATATTCCGATATCTTCCACCCTCCAGGTGATCAGCTATCATTCACCACAGCGCTTCGCCATGAAATAAGAACTAATACCGATATTCCCGTACACACTAAGTCATATCGCTTTCCGGAGGTTCATAAAAGGAGGTGTGAAACCAAATCGAGAATATGCTCGTACAAAATATAATAGAACCATCTTCGTCTCCTTGGAGCTCACCCATCTGGGTCGTCCCTAAAAAACTCGATTCCCTAGGGCAAAGAAAATGGCGAATTGTCATTGATTACAGGAAGCTTAACGACATTACGAGTACTATCGGTGAAACTTACCCTATTCCACAAATTTCCGAAATCCTTGACCAATTGGGTAATAGCAAATATTTTACCACCTTACTTCCGGTTTCCATCAAATCTTGATCTCTCCAGAGGACGCCCCTAAAACTGCCTTGTCTGTCCCTCAGAGACATTAGAAGTTCAACAGAATGCCGTTTGGACTGAAAAAACTCCACCTTTCAAAAACTTATGAATAATTGCCTTTCTAGCCCTCAAGGCACGCGATGTTTTGTCCACCTAGATCAGAGATGCACAGACCGCGGCCCGATGGCCGCATGCGGCCTGCCGGTCGAATACTGGTGGCCCGCCAACAGCAAAAATAATACTCTCGTACATTCGAAAAATATTGTATTCTATTCCAGAATAAAACCAAACAAAATATGTTCGAAAAGTAATTTGAATCTCGCGCTCTTAAGTGCGCTTATCGATGCGCCGTGCATGCGTCGGTAACAGCGGTCGGTAATGTTCGTGCTGATCTCGGTTAAATTCGTTTTCTTGAGGAAGCGCCGCGGCCGGCGGCGCACCGACGATGGCAGCGCGGTGGCGGCTTATCTACGGGTTATATTGTTAGAGCAAGCGAGATAGCAATAGTCCCGAATTCCCGATTGCTCGCGTAGGTAGATACACGAAGCTTCCAGAGTCGGTTTCGAGATTTCTCCAGACAGTTTTCGACTCTATACGCGCGGTATAAAAGCCACGCTAACCGCAGCGACGCGATAGTTCTAGTGTAGATTTTAACTCGACTAGCCGGTGTCATATATTTTTAACCACATTCAACTTAGATTTCCCGTCAAGTGCCGTGTATAATTGTGTTGTGAAATATTCTAATATTCTACCACATTTAAAAAAGGATGGGTAATTTAAGTAGGTCCTGTAATTGTTTTTAGGTGCCGTGTTAATCCTAGCCAGGATTAGAACGGAACATGGACAAGCCAGGACCTAGTAAAAAACGTAAGGTTAAAGATGAAAATCGGCAGTTTCAAGAAATTTGGACTGAGAAATATTTTTTGTATGGTCGCATAACAAAGTCGTTTGTTTAATTTGCAAGAATTCTTTTGCGATTGCAAAGGAATATAATGTAAAAAGGCACTATGAAACGCAGCATCCTACTTTTACCAAGTTTACAGGCGAATTAAGAAAGCAAAAAATGTTGTCTTTAAAACGGGAGCTTATTGGTCAGCAAGCTTTGTTTACAAAACCCATTCAAGATTCAGACACAGCTACAGAAGTTAGTTATGAAATTACTCGAATGATAGCAAAGCGAAGTCACCCCTTCAATGATGGGGATTTTGTAAAAGAATGCATAGAAATTGCCGCTAAGAAAATGTGCCCAGAAGCAGCAAAAAAGTTTGAGAAAATTCAACTGAATCGTATGACTATCCAAAGACGAATTATGTCTTTGTCAGGTAATATTGCGGTACAATTAAATGAAAAAACTAAGATCATTGAATTTTTTTCATTAGCAGTCGACGAATCCACTGATATTAGTTCCACAGCTCAACTTCTCATATTCATACGAGGTGTTACTCAAGATTTTGAAGTCTTAGAAGAGTTATTAGGAATGTGTTCATTGAAAGGTCAAACCAGAGGAGTTGATATACTCAATGTACTTTTGGATGAGTGTTCAAAAACTAATTTGGACTCATCAAAATTATCGGGAGTTGCGACTGACGGTGCTCCTTCGATGATTGGTGTCAATTCTGGGCTAGTTACTTTGCTGAAAAAGCATCTGCAAGAAAAAAACATAAACGCTAAAGATCTCATGCAGTTTCACTGCATTATACACCAAGAAGCCCTCTGTTCTAAAAAAATTGAATTTCAAAATGTCATGAAAGTGATAAGTTTCGACTGTAAATTAAATTTCATAAAATCACTTGATGACATCGAAAGCGAATATGGAGATTTACTGTATTATACAGAAGTAAGGTGGCTAAGTCGTGGATTGACACTGGAACGATTTCTAAATTTAATAGAAGAAATTGGAATATTTCTGGCGGAAAAGCAAAGGGATGTCCAGGAACTTAAAAATCCTGATTATTTGTGTGATTTGGCTTTTTTAGTTGACATTACAAATCATTTCAATGTCTGTCGAACATACGGCTTCAAGGCAAAAATCAACTGATATCCCAGCTTCACGCTCATGTATCATCCTTTCAATGCAAGCTGACACTTTTCAGATCGCAATTGAATTCTGGAAATTACAATCATTTTCCGAACTATAAGAAAATGGCTGAAAAATTCAACAAAACTGCGATTAATTTCAGTTATGTAGAAAAGCTAGATATTTTGATTCAATCTTTTCAAGACAGATTTTCGGAGTTTAAAAAACTGAAAACTCTGTTCTAAATATTCAGCAATCCTTTCACGATTTCAGTTGAAAATGCGCCAGAGTCAATGCAGTTAGAAATTATCGACATTCAAAACGACCAAGATTTACGCAACAAATTCAACGAAGGAGACTTGCTGAACTTTTACCGCTGCATCGATAAAAATACGTATAGAGTTGCGCATAAACGCTCTGAAATGTGCCAGCTTATTTGGTTCTACCTATATATGTGAACAAACCTTTTCAATACTAAATAATAATAAAACAAAAAATCGAAACCGCCTTGCAAATGAAAGTTTGGAAGCAGTTTTACGTGTTGCTACAAGTAAATTTGAGCCAAATATAAAAAAGATTGTAAGCACTATGCAATGCCACGCTTCAAATTAATAAATTCTTTTTCAATTTTAATACATATTTATCAATTCTTTATTTTCTTTAATTACCTATACTTCTAGGGGCCCTCCATCAGTTCATTATTTGCCCGAGTGGCTCCTAGTCTTAATAAGTCTATGCATCCCTGACCTAGATGATATCGTCGTGTATAGATAAGTGTGAGTTCCTCCGGAAGGAAGTGGCTTACCTTGGCCATATAATAAGCGAAAATGGCGTTAAACCAAACCCTGATAAAACTAAAGCCGTAACCGAATTCCCTACACCTGGATCCCCAAAAGATATAAAATCTTTTCTAGGCCTCGTTTCATATTATAGAAGATTTATACCCGACTTTGCGAAATTAGCCAAACCATTATCTTCTCTCCTAAAGAAGGATATACCATTTAAATGGCAAAACGAGCAACAACTTGCTTTCGAGTCCTTGAAAAATAAACTCGTCTCAGCCCCCATTCTAAGTTATCCAGATTTTACGCAACCTTTCCTCTTGACGTGTGATGCTTCTAACTATGCCATATCCGCTATATTATCACAAGGCCCCATAGGACAAGATCGACCCATTGCATACGCGTCTCGCACCCTCAATAAAGCAGAGTGCAATTATAGTGTCACCGAAAAAGAGTGCCATGCCGTAATTTTCTCGACCAAAACCTTTAGACCCTACCTATACGGTCACCGTTTTACTGTCCTCACGGACCACAAACCATTAGAATGGTTATTCAAATGTAAAGGTCCGGGATCACGACTTATCCCTTAGCATTTAAAACTCGAAGAGTTCGAATATGATATTAAATACAAAAAAGGGAAAATAAACACTAATTCTGACGCCCTGTCACGTTTTCCTGTTAATCCAGTACGACCTGATATCCCTTCACCCTCGAACCCCAACGTAGTGGAAGAATCCGCCCATGAATTGGATATAGATCTTATGGACTTGATGTTCTCTCCCTGATGTGTTCTTGTAATGGGCCATCAGCAGGTGAGATAAAAGCGATACGCTCGCGAGAGGTGTATGAGTTTCGCGGTATGTCGTGCACCCGATTTATTTCAGTAAATATATGTGATTTTATAGCACTCTCGGCTACGTCTCTAGCTATACCACACTCCGCCTTCACCTGCGCCAAATATGGTATCTTGCGTACCAGCTTTGTATCGCGACAGAATGATTTAGCCAGATAGAGGATTGTTTTTCCACTTATTGGGACAATTGTGGGCTCTTCGCTGGTGTCGTTATAAAGATTATTCATGGATTCCTCGGACAGACGCAACGACGAATACCAATGCATAGCATTATACTCATTCATCACCGCGAAGAAATCGAATATTCTGTTTGCTAACAATTTGAAAATCTGAGGGGCACCAGCATATGATGCTTTGTCCTCTCCATGTCTGTTTGCGGCGGCAAGAAAGCTGCTGGCAGCGTTGGCAACCCCCAAGCGTTAAAGAATTGTATACGATCGTCATGCTCTAATGCTTCAACACGATCGATATCATGTACAAATAGTTGCCTATTAGCGCAATCGGCGTACGGCATCTCGGGAGGGTGAGCAGTAAGTCGCATGTGAACGCCTTCTCGCCACCCCCTTCCGATTCCATTCGTCACAAGGCCATTCAAGTCCTGAATGTTCGCATTGGGAAGCGCATCTACTTTGTTTAGAGGAAACCCACCTCTCCCGGGTGCGTAATCTAGGATACGTGCATTTATTCCGGCTTCTACTAGAGCATTCTCAGTAGCTTCATATTCATAGCAGTTCCATCGGTGATTTTCAGAATATGCAAACATCAGTTTGGCAAAACACGCGCAAAGGGCGCGAGTAGGATGATCTGATGAGGATATGTCGTCCAAATGTATATCGAACTCAATGAGTCCGGGTATTAACCCATATATGCCCAGTGGGTCGTTTTTGTCCTGTTAAACAGGTTATGGAATACGAGCGATTTTGTGTAGCTAAACGCTTATTTGTGACTCCTAATGCCATCTATCGATCAATCAAAGTACTACCTTTAAAAACAAATGACATAATTTTGATTTGGCGGGTAAATATGTGCCACAAGTGACAGTTCTTTCCATGACTTGATTTTTGGTGGCAAAAAATTCCGGTTCTGCTGAGAATAATGTAAGTAATATTTTTTTCTGCGTTAATAAACTTAGTATATCGTTTCTATCATAAAATTAGATAATTTTTCTGTCCCATAACAGTGAAAGTTTTATGAAATACTTTTTTTAGCCACAGATATAGTTGTCGAAATATGTGTGGGTCGCTAACGACCCCTTGGGTAGAAGTGTATTTAATGGCAATTTTATTTTTAGGTTTACGAGACCACTTAAAACGAATGATATCATTGAGGTGTTGGAAAATTTGGACTCCGACAATGAGATACTGGGTGCTGATATATTTATTGACCCTCCTGGTGATGGCAGGGTATCTGACGGTGATTCCGGAGATGACGAAGATATATTTTTCCATCATTTATCCCGTCGACAGCTACTCGCACCTGCAAGGCTAACTTTAAAGCGCCCATTTATAGAAGAAACTGCGTCAAGCGAGGATGATGAACCTGATGATACACCTTCATTGCCACTGGAACAAATAACTCGCGGCAGAGCACGTGGAAGAACACGTGGAAGGGGGAGAGGAACAGTTACTCAACGTCAACCGGGTGGAGATCGCACTTGGGTGAAGAGAGATCTCTCCAGGAACAATTGTGAGTGGACCATACCCTTTCCTAGGTCTATTTCTACATTGTCTGCACATAGTGACCCTGTTGTATTCTTTGAACTCTTTTTCAATCGTGAAGTAATTGTTCACATAGTCAGACAAACAGTTATATATGCTATGCAGTCGGGCAATATGAATTTCTCTTTGTCAGACCAAGAAGTATACTGCTTTATTGGTATCCTTATTTTGTCTGGTTATGCTCCGTTGCCACGACGCCGCATGTACTGGGAGAGCAATGAAGATACCCACAACATTCTTGTCGTAAAAAGTATGCGTCGCAATCGATTTGAAGAGATATCGCGTTATTTTCATGTGGCCGATAATACTGCACTGCCTGAAAATGATAAGATGGCAAAAGTACGCCCGCTGATTGATATGCTAAATGCTAAATTTCTACAGTATGCTCCTATCGAAAAGCAAATAAGTATCGATGAATCCATGGTTCCGTATTACGGCAGGCATGGTTGCAAACAGCACATCAAAGGGAAGCCAATAAGGTTTGGGTTCAAAATGTGGATTGCTGCCACGAGATTGGGCTACTGCCTGTATGCCGATCCCTATCAAGGGCGGTCCGAACGTACAGAAACAGGATTAGGACGTCATGTTATCAATAAACTGATAACTAAAGTACAGGAGGAATTTCCTAATACAGATTTCTCTGTGTATTGCGACAATTCTTTTACTGGTCTGCCATTGGCCAGTGATCTCAAAGAGAAACATGTGTTTTTGACGGGTACAGTGCGTAGTAACCGTATTGAAAACTGCCCACTGAAAGACGCAAAAGAATGCCAAAAAGAAAAAAGAGGGTACTATGACTATCAATTGGACGAAACAAACGGCGTATGTGTTGTTAGATGGCACGATAATAGCGTTGTGACTCTCTTATCGACTGAACACGGAGTACAACCCATCCAAACGGCAAGAAGATATTCAGCTGCGCTAAAATCAAGGATAGATGTACCACAACCTCATCTTATTTCAGAATATAATCGATACATGGGGGGTGTGGACCGATTGGATGCCAACGTGGGCGTGTATACAATCGCCATGAGAGGCAAGAAATGGTTTACGCCTATTCTTTTTTGGCTCATTGACGTTGCGGTGAATAATGCTACACTTCTAGCTCGCCAATACCGAGGCGACATCGACACATTGGAGTTTCGACGGAGCATTGCCCGCACTTTATTGCAGAATCACGGCACCGAAAAGGTTCATCCTGGACTCATTAGAAAGGTCCAAACTAGCGTACCTTATACAGTGCGGAAGCACAATGCAGAGCATATGATAGGAAAGGCTCTGTCGAGACTTCGCTGTGCTTTGTGCAAAAATAAAACCGTAACGGCGTGCAGTAAATGTGGTGTTAATTTACATGCAAAATGTTTTTTACAGTTTCATTCTTAAGTTTGATCTCGAATTATGACGGAAATTAAATATTTAATAAAATATTGGTATTTTTATTCACTACATAATTTACGTAACACATATGACCAGAGGGTCGTTTTTGACCCATGAAAAAAAAACACCATGCCCTCACTGCCACCTCAAATTTTCACTTACCGCCTTCATTGGAACCCTTCAGGTATCCACATATCAAAAAATGAATGAAATCGAAGAAAAAAATAGTTCTGGGCATATATGGGTTAAGCATGATATTATGAAGGCGTTGATGGCTTCAGACATATCAGGAGTATAGTCGATTGAGAACATGCTGGAAATCGAGGATGAACGGGTTATAGATAGAGAAGCGGTCTTTTGTAGAGTGCCAATGTCTATTGGTCCTAATATAATATCGGGTTTCTGTAATTCCATTATAAGCCCGGCGGAGAAGCGCATTCCTCTAGGAAAGTGATGAAACATATTGGTGAGTAGAAATGGGTTCATCACAACTTCATACAATATATTATTGCCGTGCCTCGGCATACGCACAGAATCGGGTATTCCCCTTCTTGTTCTGAGTTCTTCCTGCTCAACTGTCTCTCCCAAAACACGCATTTCGTGTTGCGAAATTTCGAAGAAATCGTTCATCGCGTCACGTGACGTGATTCCATTGAAGACAAAACCGTCCGAATAGTTGTGATTATCGATACGTCTGGTGGGACTTAGGAACCTATGGATGGCGTTATTAACAACGTCGGGATTAATGCCAGTATGCAAAAGTGAGGAGTAGGGGATGCCTATAGCTTCAGGCTCACATTTCTGATCGCCCAGCATACGCATGGTTGGCGGCTCTTTTAGGAAGATCATCGGTTTGTTTAGTAGATGGAGCAGCGCTCCGTAAGTTTCGTTCAATATGTCATCAATAGATGCAATCTTCATACTGTAAATGGGCTTTCTGATAATATAGGGGGATTTATCTCTTCCCACCATTGTGACGTCAAATCTGGAGGGGACGTCGCTCTGTATAGATGGAGTCCATGGCTTAGGGCCGTAACCGTTCGCACCATACTCTTTTTCCTCAACGCATATATTCGTGCTACGGGCGAGTATACTTCTTAGGGATCCGAGTATGTCGAAGAGATCGCATAGATCATGCTCTCTTTTAGTGGTAATATTTTCTTTTGCTTCATCCGGCGTCTCCGCCGGTAACCCAGTGACCGCAGCCATACGTACTCACGCGATGGTCTCAGCCGTGCGACAATTAGATATAACTCAAATTCAACCTTCAGATTTAAAGTTGAAAATTTAAATGAAAATCGGATTCTTTTATTAGCTGACCCTACCTTTAATATTCCGTCTGTAGTTGATATTTTACTTGGGGCTGAAACATTTTAGAGCGTCGTAGGCTCCTCTACGATTGACTTAGGCAAACAAATGCCAAAGTTATGTGAAACTAAATTCGGATGGATCGTATCCGGTCCGGTTTTCAAAGGTAATTTATCCTCTTCTCAACGCTCACATCTTTGTAATCTTGTCAATCCCATTGACAAACCTGATCTGTCTAAATTCTGGGAACTCGATGCTGTTTCTCCAATGCACTCATTATCTCAGGAGGAAAGGGCGTGCGAGTTGAGCTTTACTCAGAACACACTCAGAAACAAGGATGGTAGATTTATTGTTACAATGCCCTTGAAGACCACTCCAACAGTTTTAGGAGACTCGTACACCATGGCGAAACATCGCTTCTTTTCATTAGAGCGACGTTTTCAACGTGATCCTGACTACAAGGCTAAGTATGTTGACTTCATGGCAGAATACGAACGCCTAGGTCACATGACTGAAAATGTTAATAAACCAGCACCACATTTAGGTCATGACGTTGAATACTTCATACCACACCATGGTATACTAAGAGAGTCAAGCACCACTACTAAACTGAGGAGTGTATTTGATGCATCAGCTCCATCAACTTCGGGATTTTCCCTCAATGACCTTCAAGTGGTAGGTCCTAGGGTACAGGATGAACTTTTATCGATTTTGTTGCGATTCCGACAGCATAAATACGTGGTCTCCGGGGATGTGGAAAAAATGTATCGCTGCATCGAAGTAACTACCTCACAAAGGCCCCTCTTACAAATTATTTTTCGTAGTGACCCTGAAAAACCTCTTAAGACTTATAGCCTCAACACAGTCACGTATGGGACTGCGTCAGCTCCGTACCTAGCCACCAAATGTTTGGTGAGCTTAGCAGACGCGGCGTCCACTGCCAAAGTTAGGTCAGCAATAGCAAGAGACTTTTATGTTGATGATTATTTAGGTCTTCTGTACCTGAGACTGTGGCACTTGTCAAAGAGGTAATACAAATTTTAGCCTCAGCTCATTTCTTTTTGAGAAACTGGCAATCCAACTGCCCTGACATTCTGAAAGCAATTTTAGGTAATTCATATACTCAGGATAATCCCACTACATTAAATCTTTCGAAACACAACACGTCTGCGAAAACCCTAGGTCTAAACTGGTTGAGTAGCTCAGATTACTTATCGTTTTCTATAAATATTGACCATGTAGAAAAGGTCACAAAACGACACATCTTGTCAGTAATTAGCCAAATATTTGACCCTCTAGGCTTAGTCGGCCCTTGCATTGTGGAAGCAAAGGTAATCATGCAACGGCTATGGATCGATAAATGTGAGTGGGATGACAGGGTTTCTCTGGAGATTGATAGGATGTGGTCATTGTTTGTTTCAACGCTTCCTTATTTAAGCAATTTAAAAATTCCGCGCTGGGTTTCTTTCGATGCGTCGGTAAAACATGAATTCATGTTTTTTGTGATGCATCAGAGAAGACGTATGGCGCTTGTGTTTATGTGCGATCCATAGGTTGCACCGGCTCCCTTCGGGTTCGTCTTCTTGTGTCCAGGAGCCGTATAGCACCGATAAAATCAATTACGATCCCACGGCTTGAACTTTGTGCCGCATTATTGGGGTCAAGACTGTGTACAACCGTTCTCGAGTCATTGACAATGCCAATCTCTCAGTGCTTCTTTTGGTGCGATTCGATGATCGTGCTTGGGTGGTTAAATACTCCTTCAAATCAACTCAAGCCATTTGTACGAAATCGAATAAATGAAATTATAGAAAATTCTACCAGTCACAGGTGGAGGTATGTGCCGTCGAAAGACAATCCGGCAGACCTTGTCTCGCGCGGGGCGAAAGCCGACTCAATCGGTGATAATGATCTATGGTGGTCAGGCCCTAGGTTTTTACAAAATCATGAGCATGACTGGCCTACTATGCCCTCTAACAGCGTGAAGCAGGATCTGCCTGAAGTGATTTCCCAGTTTATTTATATTAATCATTCATCTAATTCAAATCAATCACCAAATATCATACAATCATTAATTCATTATCATTCTAGTTTCAATCGCTTACAAAGAGTCTTAGCCTATATTAACAGATTTACTTACAATTTAAAAAATTCTAAGTCTAAATTACAAGGCGCTCTTTCTAGTGATGAGTTAACTGCTTCATTAATGTGTTTACTACGCAGCGCGCAAAGAGAAATGTTTCCTACGGAGTTGGGTTTTTTGGAGTCAGGAAGATCTCTACCGCGGAAAAATAGATTAATTTCATTAACGCCATTTCTCGATTCTGAAAATATCGTACGAGTAGGTGGTAGGCTCGATACTTCTCCGTACGACTATAGTACTAAATACCCAATATTGCTTTGTAGTAAACACCACTTAACAAAAATTCTGTTTCACATGCAACATTTAAAAATGCTACATGCAGGTCCTCAACTTTTACTAGCGCATTTGCGTCTTAATTATTGGCCGTTGGGTGGCAGGAATCTCGCAAGGTCAACGGTCAGACAATGTGTTAAGTGTTTTAGATTCAAATGTCAAAATGTACAGCCCATAATGGGACAACTGCCTATAACTAGAACTAGGTTATAATACCCTTTTTTTGATTGCAGTATAGATTATGCTGGTCCAATACTCATAGCAGACCGTAAAGGTCGGGGCTGTAAGCTCATAAAATGGTACCTGTGCATCTTCGTTTGTCACGCAACCAGAGCAGTACATTTGGAGCCCGTCACTGACCTCACAAAGGAGGGCTTCATTGCAGCGTTGAATCGCTTTATTTCTCGTCGTGGTAAACCTCAAAGCATCTTGTCTGATAATGGCACGAATTTTGTCGGCGCCAATAACGATCTACAAAAATTCTTATCAGACTCATCTTCTGATGTTTCATGTGAGCTGTCTCGTGAGGGAATCAGGTTCTCATTTTCACCTCCATATTCACCTCATTTCAATGCAATGGCTGAGGCAGCAGTTCGCTCTACGAAACATCACTTGAGAAGGTTGTTAAGTCTTACTAACTTCACCTACGAAGAGTTAGCAACCTGTCTGTGTCAAATAGAGGCCGTTTTAAATTCTCGTCCTTTGACACCTCTATCCACTGATCCTTCCGATTTCTCTGCTCTCACTCCTTCCCACTTCTTAATTGGACGACCACTTACGTCTGTACCGTATCCGCAGATTCCTGAGAAGAACATCAGCTGCTTCGACCGGTTCAAGAGGATTGAATGCATCCGACAGCACTTCTGGCAAAGATTCTCTAATGAATTCATTTCTTTACTACAGAAAAAAACTAAGTGGTCTTCATCATCTGGCCAGCTTACTGAGGGGATGCTCGTGCTTCTTCGGGATAGGGCGCTTCCACCGCTAGTTTGGGCTTTGGGTCGCGTGGTGCGCACTTTTCCTGGACTCGACGGCGTGACAAGAGTGGCGGAGTTAAGGACGAAGAGAGGCAAGGTGACCTGAGGGTTCAACAACATTTGCCCTCTTCCCTTTGAAGAGGTCAAGAGGCGGGAGGATGTTCATGCGTGAGGCGCGTGGGCAACCTGCGAGGGAGCGGAGGGCGCGGCGAAACGTGCCGGGAGCGACGATTGCGGCAATTGAAGGTGTCACGAGCCCCTTCACTTGACGACCGAGCGGCGCACAAGACACACGCATTACCGAATCATTCCATATTACATGTACGGTGTAATAAATCAATTTATAATACAGTCCACTTTTAATTTCGAGCGGAGGGCGCGGCGAAGCGTGCCGGGAGCGACGAATGCGGCAATTGAAGGTGTCACGAGCCCCTTCACTTGACGACCGAGCGGCGCACAAGACACACGCATTACCGAATCATTCCATATTACATGTACGGTGTAATAAATCAATTTATAATACAGTCCACTTTTAATTTATAATTTCGCTGCGTTACTCGAAGATAAAACAGCGATTATGCAACCAAACTAAAATTATAGATATTGATGCAGAATGCCGTAATTCATTACAACCATTAGCTGCACAGTTTCTGGAAATGAGAAAAGACTGTTCATCCATCTCTGACTTGGTAGACAATAAAACCAAACTTAGTGCATGGATAGGGGGTATAGGAACAACTTTGAAACAGATCTTCGGTTCCCTAGATGAAAATGATGGTTTAAAATATAATGAAGCCATAACATCATTGCAAAACAATGAAAAGAAATTAGCTTCGCTTATGAAAGAAAATATTCTGATCACTAGTGCTACTTTAACACATTTTAATAATACTTTACGTAAAGTAGGGGATAATGAAGCCAAACTCAAAGTAGCTATCGACGAGCTCTCTTTTAATGAAAGAAATATTTCTGAAATCACTAAAGGACGCGCTAATGTAAATGAAATACTTAACATTTTAGAGACGTCAATACTTACCTTGTCACTTCAACTGGAAGATATAACTAATGCTATTTTATTTAGCAGTCAAAACATTCTACATCCTGCAGTAATAACACCAAGTCGATTACACCAAGAGCTTGCCGATAATTACAGACATTTACCCAACGACCTTGAGCTGCCTGTAGCTTTAGACATTAATTCTGTGTATTTTATTTTTAATATTTCTAAGTTAGTATGTTAATACTTTAAGGATAGGATTATATTTGTTTTGCAAGTGCCACTGGTCAACACCAGAGAATATGTATTATTTCACACCATTGCTCTCCCTACACCATACAAACCTGGAGAACCAAACTCGTTTAGTCTGATTATACGAGGGTGCGTTTTTATGTTCGCGGAATGAGAGGGTTGGAGGGGGGTGATTAGGCTCATTAGAATCGTCACGTGTTCAGTGACTCATAATTACTATAAATAGCAGGTTTCATTTTTATTAGACAATTAGTCTGAG